GTTGTGGTAAGACTGGGTTTTATTCCAAACATTTTTTCTGTGGGGCAGGAGATGTTCTAAGACAGATTTTGCCAAATGCATCCCGACCGTACCATGTTTTTTGAGTGTGGCACTGCTTTTGTGAGCTTCATTTCCTGACTGGATGAAACGTGAGGATAGTTTTTGTTGTTACTTATCTCTTTGTCAGCAAGTTATGAAGAGTTTTATGCATTCAGTGTCCCTTCTCTGGTATATGTCATGTTATAGAATATTGATCTCAAATAGAAAATAAATTTTGATGGCTATTGGGGTGTTTGGTCCTGTCCTTTTCAGCATACAGAGGGAGGCAGCTGAATGATAGACCCTTATGGATGGTCTAATTCTGCAGTAAAAATGAAGCACCTAGTTGGTTTTTTTCTTTTCATTCTGACTCTGAATCAAAATTTCATTTGTTAATGTTACTGCAGTTGCTATCCCCAGTGCAGGTGATGGAGCTCTACAGGATATCTGGTCTCTGATCAAGCTCTGGAGGTAGAAATTACATTGTGTTATTAAAAAAGGTTGCAGTTCTGTAGGAGTCCATCGGAATATCTGGAGAGCAGGGATGTGGAATGAGAAACTTACATTGATTATGCATGCAAGAAAGCAATGCAGACCTCAGAGCTTGAGTCTGTGAATGGGGATGTGCCAAATTACAGCCTTATGTTGTGATGTATTCTCGTATTCCCTGTTTGGCTTGGCCTGTGGAGTGTATTGTTGTAATGGTATGTGGTATTGAGGCTGTGTTAAGCCTTTATTATTAAACTCTTATAACTCCTGTGGGACTGATGGTTTGTGGTTTCTCAGGACCACTTCCAAAGCAGCACGCAATCATTTTTGTTTCCTGGGGAAGTTACTTTATTACTGAAGTCTGTTTGCTTCGAGGTATTTGGTTTTGTTTTGTTTTTTAAATAGAATAAGAAAAATTATTCATTCAGCTTCTTTGGTTTCCAGTAGTACAAGACAAATATCTACAAATCCTTGCAGGGAGAATCTGTGAAAAGCAATAAAACCTTAGTGGATTCTCAGAGGGATTTGCCATAAAAGTCATAACCGAAGTTCTGAAACAGCACTTAGGTTAGTTGCCACTGCTTGTTTTCTGTTTGCAGATTGCATTTTCATCAATGATGAAATCAAAGTAAGGACAGGATTTGTATTGGAAGTTGGTCCCTGTATTTGCTCTTACGTGATTTCAGGAACTTGACACAACTGGGCTCTAAGAGCTGTTTCCACATCTCTTCAGTGCAGTACCTTTGCATGATATTAAATGTTTATCCTATGGATACTCTCTTGGAGTATGAAATGTGAGATGTTTTCCAGCATGGTTTTTTTCTCTCTGTCCCCTACGAATCTGCAGTTTGTTGGTCAGGATCATCTCTCATTTATGAAGACCCAAATTTTCATATATTTTTCTGTTCAGAAATTAGAGTAGTGGAAAAGGTACAGCAATCTGTAAGGAGTAGCAGTTAAATAGTTGTATGGTGTCCAGAAGTACCTAGAACTAAGGTGCACAACATACACAGTAAGATGAGTAATTTAATTTGCCTGTCTTGGGGGCTGGGGAGTGTGGTGCAGAGTTATCCAGGCCATGAGAAAGCTCATGGTTAACAAAACAAACAAGAGGACCCAAAATGGGAGACACTGGGGTGGAAAGGGGATGTGTGTGTGTGTGTGTGTGTGTGTGTGTGTGTGTGTGTGAAGAGGTAAGGAGTCAGCAACTCTTGAAGTGCATCTCTTGCCTTGAAATACAGTCAGTCCTCTTACCTTGATGGCTTAGCTGGTCTGTGGTGTAAGTGCAGTAATGAATGTAGTTACTTCAGCTTTGCAGTTTGCAGAAATTATTCCAGGAGACAACTGTGCAAATTCAGATATGTTCCTTCAAAGGCACCTTCAGGTCTGTATCCTGTATGGAGTATTGCTGGAACTGAGTTTAAATTAGTTCCCAGAGCAGCACTGAGTCTTTGCACAGTCTACTGTGGAGCTCCTGGTTTCTGAATGAAACAGGATCCTTGTGTTTGGTTCACAGCAGTGAAGCTGCCCTGGGAGCAAGGTCTCATAGAACACTCCTCCACACTCCACAGGGGCTGTGATGGAGTGCATTCAAGTAGCCCTGCACACCACTGGTTTTGGGGAGATGATGGAGCAGATTCTTGTGTTGGTCCAATTTGTGGTGTTCTAGCTGGATGATGGAAGGGAGGGAAAGGTGACCCAGAGCACAGGTCCCAATGCAAATTTAACCCAAAGTTAACATGAAGTGATCCAAAGCAACTTTGCAGACTGGCTGGTGAGGTCTCAGCCATCATTATTCCTGGCACTGAGTGCCTTTTAAATAACTGTTTGTGCTGTCTTTAATTCTTCTGATGGATTTGGATGAGATCCAGAATTGCTTTTGGATTTTACTGTCTCTTGGGTTGTTGGTTTTTTTTTTTCTTTTTTAAACTGCTGTAGCCACTGAAAAAAGATTCTAGTGAACATGAAAACAGATGTAAAAGGCTGGCACTGTGGTGTGTGCAGCCCGAGGCTGTGCATATTGGCAAGTTATTGGGTGTCGGATTTCATGATTTGGGCATAAAGGCTGCCCCTCAGTTAAGGCAGGAGGAAGAACATTTAAACTGATTTATGGAAGTAGGTGGCTAAAAGGTACCTACTGCTCCTTCAGACACTAACACTTCTTGGCACCTAAAGCAAGGGTGCATGTAAGTGGGTATGTTTTGCATAGTGTCTTAGTAAGTTTTGAAAGACAAAACCTTTGACAGGTATAACAGGCTCAGGGGCTTGGGGAAAGGCACTGGGCACAGACTGAGCAGCCACTTAGTCTCTGAAAAAAATGTGTAGAGAATTTTGAACTGAGAGATGACTGGAAGACATTTGAAGCTAGAAGCAAAGAAACTTTTCTTATGTTTGTGGAAACAGGACTTGCCTTTTTCAAGTTTATAGTTTCTTCCCTTTTGAAGTGTTAATGCCAGAAATAAACACAGTGTTTTAATAAAGATCCATGGCTTGTGAAATTACTTGTGGAGGTCGAGGGGGAACTGACTGTAACACAGGTTATTCACAGTGAATTTCATGTTGAGACTGTAAAACTAATAGTTGCATGGAGGGCTGGATTGGAAAAGGGAGCTCACATGCTTAGTCTGCTTGTAAGTTTTTTTTATACGAGGAAGGAAGATAACATTCTCAGTTAAGGGTATTTTTGCGGCCTGCAATAATGGTATTAATTTGGTGCTTGCAGTGCTTTTCAGCCATTCCTAGATAAGTCCTAATATTTCATGTGCAGTGTTTGAATGCAAAATATATTGCAGGAAAATTAACAGCATTTAAATTTGGCTTTAACTACAAGGCAATATTTTAGGTTGATAAAAATCTCAACAGTTTTTTTAAAACAGAACTCTGCAGAGATATTTCAGAATTGATGGCAGATGAAGTTAATGCAGTTAAAATGAATTAAACTCCTTGCTATTTAGAATAATATAATGATGCCTGAATTTTATTCCCAAAAGAGGAAATACAGTTGTAAAGTCCAGATGGATTTTTATTTTTATTGGAGTAAGTTTTGAGACTAGTAATACCTTCTCTTTTTTATTTTTTTTTCAATGTTACTACCATGGTATTGGATCTGAGACAGCACAGACTTTTAAAAAAAAATGTTTTAAATCCAGTTAAATTAACAGTTTTACTGTATCTATTTTTAAAATTAGGACTTTCTTATTGAATTTGTAAGAGCTGCAAAATAAGCACGAGGATGATATACAGCATAGAAAAGCCAAGGGCTCAGTTCTGTGTCAAGTTCTTGTGAGCTGTAACATGACAACTGTCAGTGCTTGCGATTGTAGCCTGCCCAGATTTAAGGTGATGCAGCAGGAGCTTAAACTCTCTTCATCAGGCTAAATCTTCTTGTGCAGATTTTTGCCTTGCACTGAGGTCTTGCACCTTGGCTGCTGCTGTGGTGCGACAAAGGATGTGTGATCAGTTTATCACATCTGAAACCTAAGTCACAAAGAGAAACATCACTGGATTCAATCTATTCATTTAGCTAAAGATGAAAGGCAGTTCTGCTATTGCTGTGTCAGTTTAAAGCTTCTCATTCCATAAAATTATTAATCCTGTCGTGGTGGTTTGTTCTCTGCTGATAAATTTTGCAAACAGATTCTAGTCTGGAAGAGTGGTATATGGGGGAAATGAAGACTGATAAAGGGGTCTGGATCGTGGGGTGAGCCGAGTGCAAGCAGGCATTGTGTTTCTATGTGGCCAAGTGTCAAGTTGCATGTATAAAAACTAGGAACTTTAAAACGCAATTGAAGCTGAGGATGCCCCACCATATGAAACAGTGGCTGAAAGTATCAGGCATTAACTGGTGAGCAAGAACTGTCGTTGTGATCATGGATAAAAGCATTGTTGTGAAACCTAGATAGCTAAATAAGAGTATTGAGTAGAGAGGTGTTTTGATGCTTGGGAGACATGCTGCAGAGGTGAAGGATATTGATTAATTGAAATGCATTGAACCGGGGAGCCATCAGTGTGAGTGAAGGTGTGGGAAACATGGTGAGAAGTGCAAGGAGCACAAAGTGCTTGGCTTGGCAAACATTGTCAGTGAAGAGCTGATCATAACAGTGAGGTGCCTCAGTGGGAACAAAGTACTGGTAATATATTTTATAAGAAAAAACTCTCTAGTCTAGCAGTCAAAAGCATATGATGATTCAGTTTTGGTAAGATCAACCAAGCTTATTAGGCTTAAAGTGAAATTATTTTCAATAAAATGTAACTACTTCATTGGGTAATGACACTGTGCTTTATTGCATACTCCGTCGTTCTGCCTTTGCTAGATGTCTGTTGTTCTGTCTGGTTGGTGAAGAGGTTGTTCTGCTTCCTGGCAGAAGGGAACACAAGGAGTAACTTAAGCAAGATAACAAGAAAATATTACAGCAAGAAATGGTGCTAAAAAGCGGGGAAAATGAATTTATACTCTTGTGTTACAGATTCAGTGGTTCTTTCCTTTGACTCCGTTGGACATACACTAGGCTCAGGTACAACACTGCCTTCTTCTCTATCTCCCACCTCATGACAAGGCTTCTACTTAATTGGACATGGTAGCCATGTTGGGAGGCAGGCCACTGAGTTGGACTTCTGTGGGAATCAGCCATCTGGGCCAAAGGGGGTAAACACATCCTTTGCTAAGTGTAGTGGAAGTATTAGGAGTCTTAGTGCAACACGAGGATTCACATGCAGGATTCCTTCCGTTACCCAGCGAGGCAGATGACCTGGGCACGTTGGTGATGCAGTTTGTGCTTCTCTTCTCATGTGAAAGGCATTAAGATGATGTCACCCACCAGCTGAAGAAAAACTGTTCCATGCTACTAGGATAGTTTCTCAGCTAAACAAACAGTTGAGTTATTTGGGGAAAGACATCAGGAATGCTTCCAGGAAGGAGAAGGCGAAAGAATCATAACTAAACAAGTAAGGCTGGAAACATTTATGGGTGGAGATTGACCAGCATTGTCGAACCCCAGGGCAACTCCTTCCCAATCTAATTTCCATTTGAACCTAAGCATGACCTTCAATTAAACTGAACCAGAAATCAAAAATTCTTTTGTGTTGGGGGCACGTAATTAAATCAGTAACAATCCATTTGGCTCTGTGTAATGCACAAGCTGCAGCCAAGGCACACCATAGTGAGCATGGTACTTGATGAAATTCAATTTACAGTGTGTGTATAATGATATATGAAGTGCAAGGGAAATGCTAAGAGTTGCTCTTATAACTTAAAACCCCTTAACACTTAAAAGATGGGTGTCTTTACTGTCTTGCAGTAAAGACAAAACCCTCACTTGGATTATTTTTTATTTTATCTTGCTTGCTAGCCTTTCCTCTTAGGCTGGTAGGGGGAACATGCTGCCTTCCAACATAGCACCTGTCCTCTGCCTGCACGATTTGAAAGAGAGCCTGCTGCCTGACACTAACAGCAAAGCTTGGACACATTTCTGATTTACTAACCCCTGAGCCAGTGGTAGTAACTTACTTTGTTTAAAACACACCGGATGTTTTCTAAACTTTCTAAAACTTATATCTGGAAATAGATCTATTCTGGGTGCATGGTGTGATGTGAGAGTATCTCTAGGGTGCTGAGTGAATGTGTTGTTGTGTTTATAGGAGGAAAAGACCCTCTATTAATTCCCTTCTACTAACTGATATGTCATAACTGCAGTGTGTTCCCTGCCTCCTTCTGTACTGGGTGATTTTTTCTTTAGTCTGTGAAAGTAAGGGAGAAGTTGCATAGGTTTGAGATATGAAACCTGTGAGGAGAATTCAGGGAAGTGTATCTATGGTGTTGGCTGTAAATGCTGTGTTAATACTACCAGTAGGAAAGTAAACTTGGCTGTGAAAAGTAGTTCAACTTCTCCATGTCTTTTGAAGTTCTTTTGGTTTGGAGGGTGGGAGACAGGCTAATGTAAGCCATTGAACTGCCTGGATCTGTTTTAAAAGCACTGGGCTTTGTTCTGCTTGCATATTGCAACTCAAGATTGCATTGGTTAGGAGTAAGACAGTAAAATTTGATCTTTTGTAAACCCTTCCACTGCAACAAGGCTGAATTTCTTCATTGAAGAAAACTCACGTAGTTGATCAGAGAGGCCCAGAAATGCCTGAGAGCTGTTTGTTTATTGCTTTCATGTTTAGTACTTTGCATTCACTGTATTGCAAACTTGCCCTTGCTCTGAACTGATGTGTAATAAGTTGTCAAGATGTGTGATATCTCTCCAACTGAGGGATAGCTTTCCTTGTTGTACAGGAAGGAAAGAGAGAAAAACTGTGGCTATTGTGCTACCGCTGTCCATCCCATCTCACCTTGCTGCAGACCCAGGAAAAGACAGAGCCCAGAAAGAACCCACAGAAACAATGGCAGCTCCAGGCCCAGCCATTCCCAGTAGGTGATGTTTCAGGTTGGGTAAGAAGGGACTAAAATTATATACTTAAAAAACATAAAAATAGATATATTGTTTTCTTTATTAATCAGAATTAAATGGCCATGAATAATAGTCTCCGTGATAAGATTTCATGCTGCTTAAAATTAGTACTCGTTGACTGATATTTGCATGTTAAACACCTTATTAGAATTTCTCTTTTGTAGCTGTTAATCATGCCATGTGAAGGGCAAAGTCTTCTTGCAGCTTCTGTATTTTATTTGAATTGACTGTCCTTATCTTGGCTTTCCCCTTAACTTTGTCCCACATGCAAATCTCAGTTTTCAAGGATGCTGGAAATCTGTCCTTATGCAGCTCAGATTAATGACAGTCTCTGGGTTGTTCTGGATAAACTTTCTGAACTGAGTGTTGATAAGTTCATCTGGCTATGGAGCCTTAATGTACTTCTTCATAGGAGATTATTAGGGTAGAGGACATGCGAGCCAAATACGCTTGGAGTGAGACTGAACTGTGAGGTTCATGCTGTGGTCTAGCCTTCACAAGTCCAGATGTTTTTGTGATTCTCTTCATGGCTGTCCCTTCCCCTGAAAGATAAAGTTTGAGCAGCAGAGATAAGTGTTTGATGTGATGTTTAGGCCAGTGTTTCAGCTGAAACCATTTCAGAAAGGAGAGTGTCACGTTCTGAACTTCGGAAGCATTAATCAGGACACAGGGTGTTTGAGGAGACCTAGATTTCATTCACTTGCCGCAGACAGCTAGTGCTCCTTTTATTTTTTTTTCTTCCCTCTCTAGTTGCTTTGTTTTACTTCGTTGCTAGCAAATCAAACATTGGACCTTGAAAGTCAGATTTATACCCCTGCTATTTTTGTTAGAGACTTTTTCTACCTCCTGTGTCTGAGAGCAAGCAAGTTAAATTTTTCTTCTCTAAGCCTCATTAGGACAGGAGTGCATTCAATGTCCAACTTTCCCACATGCTACCATGCTTGCTGGAAATGCTGAGGTTCTGAATACCTTATGGCTGTAGACTTACACAGTTTAGATGTGTTTGGTTGCAGTACTGACCACTACTGGTTCATAATAGATATTCTCACTGCAGGCTTAAATGGCACCAAACCTAACATCACAAGCAACCAAGTGTTACCTAAGTCTTGCTGAAATTGTTTGAATATATTAACTCTTTTGTTGTCACTGCATTTTTATTTTCAGTTGAATTCTTAACCCATATCAAAAGTTTGGCTTGATTCATGCAAAGAAAATGGATCTTTGAACTTATAGTTTTGAGTGGCATATCTGTTGTGGCTCATGTGCTTGTGGAAGTCCACCTGTAAGACCATGCTTCCAGCTGCTGAGTTCACAATGATAGTGGAGTAATCATCTGAGAATTTAAATCTTTGCTTATTTAGGAGTCTGCTGTTAGTGATTTCTTATGTCAATGTCCTTAACCATTTTGGGAGAAGCCGTGAGAACTGTGAAGGAAACTTTCTCTGTTTCATTCAGCTGCTGAAGATGCTCTGATAACCATTTTGTGGAAGATGAGAATGTATGTCTGTCCTCCCAAGTACAACCCTGGAGTGAATTTGGTGACTACTTGCATATGTTTTGGATGCAGAGTGGTATGGATGGAGGCCAGGAATAGAAATACAGCTGAAATCATGAAGTATCAAATTGGTAGAATAGTGATAGATTCCTAGCATCAGGGGAAAACATTGGTGACTTGCAGAAGATTCCTTCCTGTTTGTTTGCTTTCTCAATGTGGCTCTGATAGTACAGATGGCTACAATTACAAACTCTGATATTTCCCAGATTTCCAGGTTAGTGGTAATTAATTTAGATACTGTGTTAATTAGTAGAATTTATGAGGCCCTGGTAGATATTCTTGGTTTGAGGAAAACAACTTTAATTTGTATTTGGAGCTGATGTGTTTGTGATGTGTTGGGTTTTTTTGCCCAAATTGCATTTCTAAGTGTCCTAACATGATATGGTAATGACGAGAAAGATTAACTTACTTTGCTGCGTTTTTCTGCATTCCTGTATATCAGAAAATAAATGGGAAATGTTATGTATTTTCTCTGCTGGTTTAGTGGCTTTATTCTGCACAAATGCTTTTCCCTTTTAATTTTTGATTAATGAAGTTCTGCTTCATTCTTTATTTCTTTGAGCTCTAGACTGTGGGAGCTGCTTGAATCTTTGCCAGTGACTGTCATGAAGTGGTTGCATAGTCCTTATGTGACTTTGCCAGCATGTTCAGTATCATAATCTGTCTTCTTATTAATGGTCTGTTTCTCCAGTTGAAAATACAGCTGTGAATGAGTTGAGGTGCAAATGCCAAGAAGTGCCTTAAAGAATGCCTCAAATTAAAAGTATTTTAATGTGATTTTTCCCTCTCATGTGGCATCTCTCTGCAGCAAGTCACTAAAAGCCAATATAGATTAGTGTTTTGTTATTATAATTCTTGACTTTTATTAGGAAATGCGATACAATTTATAGAATGAAGATTATATCAAAAAACTCAGTACGGCAGCATTAACTCCATTGGCCAAGTGGATTCGTGGTAGTAAATGAAACAACTGTTTAGCAAAGGTTGAGATCTGGCTGGAAACAGATGAGTCCCTGGTGAAAGCAAAAGGGCATATGCAGTTCATAGGAGGAAATTTTTCTTCTTCCTGTTGGAGTCTTTCTTAAATTCAGCTTAAAGCAGCCAGTTGCTTTTCTACCATTGAAGGTTGCTATAGTTTTGTTAGGAAAACCAATTGTAAAGAGTTATATGTAGTCCATGTTGAGGTACCCAGAGCCTTTTAAAATGTAATATGCTAGAGTGACCTCTCTTTTGTTTTCCTACACCTATTTTGGAGGTAAGACAGGACCCATACAGCGCTACTGGCAAGTGACTGCTTACTTGTTCTTTCTGTGCCTGGGGAATGAACAAGGTGGTCGCAGTGTCTAATGAAAGAAATCTCTCTGGTGTGTTGCTTTCCTCAGACTGTAAAGCTGGGCCAGATGACTTTTGGGGCCCCAATCAGGAATTACAGGGCAGGAAAAAAGCCCCACAAACCATCTTGAAGGTATAGAGCTGGAAATTACTTCCTTTTGCCAGTAAATCGGAAACA